CACCGGTATGTGTGGAATAGCTGGTATTTAGCTGTTTTTATCTCAAACAACATTTAGGAGGCCGCTGATGCACGTCAAAACCACCGAGCCGAAATGCCAACAACAAGACTGGATTTACATTCTACCTTTGTGAGTTTGGTTTCAGTCAAACAGTAGAAACCAGCAACATTATACAAGAGCGGAAGTAAGGAGACTTGAGTAGTCTGACTAAATAACGAAACGCCGATCTACGTCAGCGTTATTAGACAGAGAAAGGTAAAGGGTAACGACAAACAAAAGATCCGCAGGTGGTGAAATAGGAATTCGAAAAGGATTCTAGGGCTGTAGAACATGCAGTACAAGAACAACATTGCAAATTATGAGACCATATGGAGGAAATCTTTCTAAAGAACAAATTTTTCTAAACAGGAAAATAAAGGAAGCGTTGGTGATGCCATCAAACCAATGCTTGAATAAAGATGTCGGTTTGGCACTGGAACGAAGTAATAAAGCAACTTTCACCAGTGAAACTAAAACCCTCTGTAGTAAAGTGTGTACCTCGATGAGCAGAGAAATACTATACTATAACATCGTATCTGTAACATGCCGCGGCCTGAAGACGGATCGAACATGATCCGAAACGTTGGAGAACTTGCATATAATAAATTTTATATGCCGTGTACTACCGTGAAGTACATGTTGAGTGTTGAACTAAATTCCCGCATAAAAGAATCCACTCTGTATTTAAGGTTATTGCCCTTATTAAATACAACAGTTTTGAAAAACAGACTTTAAGTGATGACAACAGAATTTCAATAAATTCCATGAAAGAAATGCACCACAAACAGGACCCATACGTACAACTCCGAAGCTTATCGCTGCAGTTACAAACTTTCTCGTCGATACGATAACGACGTTCCACAAGTTACAAGCTTCACACTAAATCCACAGTCACAAGCGTCATTTGTTTTTCTTTCCCTTCAAAAATAACAAAGGCTTTTAAACAAAAAAGCGAAGGTGAGTTAACTGCTTCTCTTCTAGAAAAAAAAGTTACCCCTGAAGTACAGCTGGCCTAAAAGCAAAACACGGGTCTTACGAACAAGAGACTGCTCTACTGAGCTGTGGCCAACTCCCTGTGAGCTCTGTTTATGGAGTCTTACGTCATAAGGCGAGTAAACAACGAACAAACGTAAACGCCGTGTGTGTCGTCTCTCTGCCAACGGCTCGCATCACAAAGCAAATGCCAACTGAGAGACAGACCAGTCGCAAAACCACTACTACTCAGACGTGTGAGGGTAACTAACGACAAGTTGTGCGTGACCAGGGCAGAGGCGAAAGATTTTGAACGATAACACGTCTAAACTGCAAGACCTGTTGGTCATCGACGTGTCGTGCAGAGCTCGAAGTAAATAGATTGACTGGTCGAAAGCGAAAAGCTAAGCCAGCCGATCGGTACTGTGAATCTGCGACCGAAACGGCAACATGAAGCTACGCTGTGTTCGCACTGCACTCTTTATCACTACCCCGATTCGACCCTCGACCGCTGCTCGCCAATACGGCAGCAGGAACCGTTTACCGTTCGGTCCACAGTGCAGACAAACGGCTGACAACGGAGCATGTTAAGATGCAACATCGAATAAAATACCTTCATAAAACTCACCATACAACGCAAACCTACCTCGACTAAATTCTGCACGAAACGGTGATATTTGTATATGTGACCGGAAAATGTTGACGTAGTCGGACTGCTGACGTCATCAAAAGTTTCTGCAGCGAAGGATGCGACAGTCTCATGGAAGCTGTCCGACAGTAGCATCTTCGACTCTTCCTGAAACAGCAGCAAACTATCACACGAGGTTTACTGCATTCAAGAAACAGAAGAAATGTGTAAAAGCAAGTTGGCCTCTTGGTTAGTAGCCGACTGGTTCGCGACAAAAAATAAGTGATGCATCACATGTCTGACCGACCGCCCAGCCAACCAGCAGCGTCATGCAATGGTAAACGCGCGTTTCACGTCAAGTCGCCTAAGTGAGTGCTGCATCAGCTTTCACTGCAGAAAGCGACTGAAGGACAAAGATGGTATGCGACTGCATGCAGCTGTAAATCTGCCGACATCAATCAAGTTGGATTGGCAAGCACTTACGACTGATTTCGATCCGACATTAAAAACGACTTGCAAATATCCACGTGGCAACAGCGTATAAATTCGTGCCCGACCAAGACGTGACTTTCCGAATATAGCGTTTAACTGTGACTCCTTACAGTCAAGCACGAACAATACGAAGGTTGTGTAAAATATTGTCTGAAGGAGAAAATGGAACGAACATCTGTTTGGAAAAGCGACGATATAAATGGATCACAAATTTCGAACAAAAGGGTTCGGTGGATAATTCGTCAAAAAATGTTTCTTACAAACTACTGAACAACGAAATTGCCTTTTCCGCTAATCATCATACAGTTGTTTGTTCGCTGGCTGATAAACAAATAAATCACTTTTCACATCGTGGCAATGCGCAAATGTTTGCATATGTCCTTATACCAGAATTAAAGACACCATTAGCGGCATGACAACCGATACCCGCATTGTGGTCATCTGTGTTAAATAATTTCATCAGTGGCTGCAATTTCAAATAACGGACTGACAGTTAAGTCGGCTGGGCAGATTCGGCGACCGAATGATCATCACGTTTTCGAATGCCCGCATTGTCACTCACGTTTCATCTATCGATATCCCGTACGGAGGATTAGGTAAAATAGAAACAACAAAACAAGTGACTACGCGTCGAGTCTGACGCATACACGCACGCATTAACTCTACAAAGCATACGGCACTAGTGCACTAAAACGGGAATCAGCTCCGCACGAATGACTCCTAAAACGGCGAGATAATGATGCAGATCACGGAAGTTAAAGAATGCCAAATCTCAGTCTTCAAAATTCGCTGTTCCTTTATGGTGAGGGTCACAGCATAGTTTCAGAAGACTTTTCCAAGGCCCTCCCCCCACCAACGGAGGAAATTTAATTGGACGAATAGGAACGCCCATTAATCCTACATAAATTTGCCCTTGCCACGTAGCTTCTCGAAGAAAGTTCGTAATCTAAATTTCTACACTGACATTCCGAGCGCTTACGAAGACTACTGAAATCACGATCGCTGGATTTGAAGAAAAAACGCGACTTTGAATGATTAATGTTCCTCAGACTATCGTATTGTTCCAAAAATCAAGTCTCTTCGACGGAACTACCTCTCCGAATCTTGTATCCGTCCTCGGTAGTTACTCAACATCCCAACCCCTAAAAATTACTTTCTTTTTTCATTCTTTTTTTATTGTAATTACTTGCTCGCTGCGGATGTGCTGAAAAATATCTTAGATGCTTCGGTCTACAGCGAATATACTCACTTACCTGCATAGATATTAATATCAAAGAGCATTTACGATTAACTTAAAACAGTTTACCACTGCCGGTTAGAATAACTAAGACTTCTCACTTCTCTGGGTTTGCATGGCATTTGCACTGCATATATAGCTTCCTAAAACCCAGTCTCAACCTTGTCGTCGGGAGTGAAAAACGATCATAAGAAAAGATGGCTCCACACGGCGAGGAGGATGGGGAATGTTGATCTTAGACCACAGTGATACCCGTGAAAGCTTGTCGTGAGCCCCTAAATAGTCGGCCAACGAAGCTCTCGTAGATAAAAACCTTCATGGTGGTCATTGCAACCCAGCAGCTGTGAAGTAGCTGTACTGTTCAACGCTGCACATGCTATTCTGGCAGATTACCTGATCAGTCTAAGTGCATTAAGGCGCATACTCCTCACACGCAATCCCCGTGCACGCAGTGTTTTTGGCGCCTTAGTGGACATATATTACAGAAATATGCAAATCAACGCCCATGTCGCAATTAATGCACATAACGTATGAGGTACTGGCAACGAAGGGCTATCGTCCAGTTAAACACCTCATAAAACTTATCGTCAAACATGCGTATGACTACAGACGGCCACTAAACGCGCGCGGTTAGACAAACAAGGCAAACGACGGCCGAAAAACGTCGAAACAATGTCGGAACTATGCTCCAACTTCAAACCTCAAACCTCGAGTCTCTCCTTCACTCCTGATTAATAATCTACTGAACGCTGCACTGCACATGTTACCGTACTTTGCATTTCGTTATCGACGACAGAGTGAGCGACCTACCAACCAGAGAACGAACAAGTGCAACCACGTCTAGCTTATGGAACCAACCACCAGGTGACTGAGCTATGGCCCGCCGATCGATTGCCAGACGACGAAATGTGATCACAAACCGACTCTAGAATCAATAGAGAGGCGCCAGAAAACGGAGTACAGCCCTCCACTTGAGAGAAAAGGTAAGATTCGCAATGGTATCATCGAGAACCTTTGGTGTCGAGAGACGCTAAAGCCAAACAGAGAATTCGCTAAACTGAAACCTAATCCGCAAAACCAAAGCAATTTCTGGCGAACTTCTGCCAAACTTTGCTATTAGTCCTCAAAGTAAGAACAAACCCGTGCAAAATCTGTTGCATGCTAAAGTCTGTAAGAATTTTTTAAACGACGAATAATATTTCGTAAGACACGAAGATATTTCAAAGCCAACTTTCCTGATCCAAGCTAAGTACCCTTGTCAAAGGATGGAATCGCGTCAGCAACTGAGGAAGTCGTTAAGGCCTGTCATGAACCGTCAACGATAGGCCAACGAACCGATGCTTTTTCAAGTAGTTTTGAGTTTGCTTGGAAAGAGCACACTCTGACTACAAGCTCGATCGAAAGGACTGGGGTCACGGCACCGTATTACTTCCCAAAGAGAGGATGACAAAATACGTTTATGATGCTGTCTTCTTCATGAAGGGAGAACGACGACTGATGGGCAAGTTGAACGGAGCGTCTACACGATACATGACGGATGATATGAAGTGCTGCGAACTGCGGTTCAGTAACGCTGGCTACACTTATAAATTTATGTCGTCATCCCTCTGATGATGACGCTTGTCATGTCATACGAAACCTATATTTCCATCTCTATTTCAAAAACTTTGTTCAGTGTGTCTTGAAAGCACTATCAAACAAAACCTTGGAACTGTTCACGATGAGCCGTATGCACAGCACTTCGTCATCTGCACAGAGAGTGCAGTATGAGGCTGCTTCCTTCAGATCATTAGCTAATGCATATGTCGCCATCAGAAAAACAGAAATGGGCTGAGCACTTAACTTTGATAGACCCTTAATAACACAAGTAATTCTGTTCCGCCGCAGGTACTTCGAACTATCGCTGTCACTCCATCGTACATACGCCTTTGGCAAGTGCGACATATTTTTCCAGAACCAAAGTCTTTCTCGTTCCTTACCAAATTTTCTGCTCTGGAAGTCGATCAGAGGCTATCTCCTGGCCCAGGAACACCACGTGAATGTCCTGACTATTTTTTCTGCTATGCGTGCTTCAAGAACTGATCTTAAGGCATAGATGGCGCCCGTAGTTGACCGGCATAAAACCAAACAAATTGGGTTCGCAGCGATATCGACATCCATCCTCCGTCTTTGGGCCGGCATCTTTTCATGCTCGTTCACGGTGTGTAACACAATTTGAATTCTCGATAGTTTTCAAAGCCAGTATGTCGATATATCGACAAAACTAATATTATTCTTCGTCAGATAAAGAACGATTAAATGTCGTCTTTTAAGCAAAGTTTACTTCCTTAAGCTAAGCGCAATGCTTAATTCAAATATTTTGCCAGGGAACGAAGGTAAGAAACCAGAGAAGAACCTAAAGCACAAAGTCACAAAAGAGTATTAACGCATAGGAGAAAACGACATCGGTTATGTTTCGAATGCTGATAAACCTACAGCGAACGCGTGATGGTCGACCAATTAGTCTCTGCCGCAAAGTCAGTGAGCTACAGAGAACGAGTTGTACTGAGTCTAACTTTCCTGACATACAACGGACCAGATATTTAAAATGGTCAATCGAACAAGAGAATAAGCATTACTAACGAGTTGGATAGATGCTCTTCTGTGAAGGCAGGCAATAACCATGAGAAAAATACCTACGTCAATTCTACAACAACCCATGGCGCGTAAAATAAAAACCCTCGACACTCCTATAACGGAAAATTAACTGTTTAACTGCCCAGGAATGCAAAGACGAAATTATATCTATTATCATCCCTCGCTATTAAATCTTACTCACTACTCTATTCGAAATATCCTTTCCTGAATATTATCCTGTGTGGCTTCATTCATCTCTTATCATTACTATTCACTAATTATAGGTCAAGAAACGCTGATCATCTGCCAACTCATTAGCGCCCACTTAAGCATCAGATAACAACTATTAGTAATTTTGACGCGATATATCGTTCTAGAAACATATTCATAACACCAACCAAATTCATTTCTCCAGGTTCGCGCTGAGTAACTGAACTGCCTATGTGTTCCTTGCGGCATAGAGAACCGTACCTACAAGTAACGATTCCACTTAATAGTATTTTATTACCAATACTACAGGGACGCATAACCACCTCACTTCGCAAGGTCGAAAAAAGCCATACTCGAACACAAATAACTTCGGTCCGTAATCATATGTACAACAAAAAATACCTATCATATTCCGGGTTTATAAACACAAGCCAGTCTTTGCTGGAAAACCGAGAACAGCATCGGTATTTCTACTACATGGTGTGGCGGTGAAATCGCCATAGAAGAGGTATTTATGCCCGAGCTCACTGAGGAAAAATACAAGCGGACCAAGCCTCACAGAGACGTCACCTGGAAACCTATTTGGCCTGGATGAACGACA